GAACCACAAGTGAAAAACCGCTCTGTCTCTGGCCATGTCTGGAAAGTATTTTCTTAATTGCCAATCAAGGTAGGAGGGCCCAGCCTGCTGGGGGAGGTGTCATTCTTAGGCAAGTGGATTTAGGCTGAATAAGAAAAAAAGCTGAGCAAGGCAGTAAGCATTATTCCTTCATGGCTTCTGCCCCTGCTCCAAGCTCCTGCCTTGGTTTTCCTCTATGATACACTGTAAAGAGAGCCAGCTTACTTTGTTTGTCTGTTTGTGTTTGGTTTTGGTTTTGGTTTTTTGAGACAGGGTTTCTCTGTGTAGACTTTGTTGTCCCAAATGGCCTCACAGATCTGCCTGCCCCTGCCTTCTGCATGCTGGGATTAAAGGCGAGTGCCACCATGCCTGGCTGAACCAGGTTACTTTTTTTTTTTTTTTTTTTTTGGTGGCTGGAGAGACAGCAGTGGGTACTGGGAACAACCAGGTTACTTTTAAAAAACATTTTTTGTTGTTGTTGATGTTGTTGGTGTGTGTGTGTGTGTGTGTGTGTGTGTGTGTTATGGGTCTGGGGTCATTCAGAGATTCACCCATCTTACCATTAACACATTTGAACAAAAAAGAGGCTTTTATTCATATACTGGTACCAGGTCTAAGCCCAAGACTTAAGGATTCCTTTTTTATTTAATTTTGTTTTTAAGATTTATTTATTTATTTATTTATACAGTATTCTGCCTGCAAGTGAGCCAGCAGATCAGAAGAGGGCACCAGATCTCATTATAGATGATTGTGAGCCACCACATGGGTGTTGGGAATTGATCTCAGGGCCTCTGGAAGAGCAGACAGGGCTCTTAACCACTGAGCCATCTCTACAGCCCTATTTTTGTTTTTTTTTTTTAAGATAGATTTCTTTGTGTAACAGAGCCCTGGGCTCACTTTGTAGACCAGGCTGACCTTGAACTCCCTGAGACCTGTCTGCCTCTGCCTTCTGGAGTGCTGGAATTAAATGTATGTGCCACCAAACCATGGTTTTGATCAGGGGCTTTTAAAGGCAAAAAACACAGTTACATGCTGTCTACTGGCAAGCAGGAGATCATCTGTGCAGAGCAAGCTTTTGTTTACAGAAGCAAAACAGCTTTTGTTAAAGTTGTACAAGACCAGTCAATTGCATAAACTTAAACCTTAGCAGCCCTTAATATCTGGAAGTCCAGTGTTGCATTATAGTTCTCTTTTTTAAAATGATTTATTTTATTTTATGTGCATCAGTGTGAAGGTGTCAGATCCCTTAGAACTGAAATTACAGACAGTTGTGAGCTGCCATGTGGATGCTGGGAATTGAACCCAGGTTCTTTGGAAGAGAACAGTACTCTTAACCACTGAGCCATCTCTGCAGCCCACATTATAGTTCTCTTAAGCACAGAAAATTTCAACATAAAGTTAGACATCAATGTGACATGTGTACAGGAGAGCAGGTACCCACAGAGGCTAGAATAGGGTGCTGGGTTTCCCCAACTTGCTTTTGGTCATGCATGGTGTTTATCAACAGCAACAGAAAAGAAACAGAACATGAGTGACCTCCTGGTCAGCCAAGGCTTCACAATGAGACTCTGTCTCAGGAAAAGTTTACAAATTGTACAAACTGTTTTGCCACTTCTTTATATAGTCTGAATGTTTGTATCCCCTGATTCATAGGCTGAAACCTAACTTCTAGGGGGACAGTATTAAAATTTGTGACTACCCATCACTTGGGGAGGCAGAGGCAGGCAGATCTCTGTGAGTTTGAGACCAGCCTGGTCTACAAAGCAAGTTCAGGGCAGCCAAGGCTACACAGAGAAAACTTGCCCCCCCCCAAAAAAAAACATAAATAAATAAATAAATAAATGAAAAAATAAAATAAAAATTGCAACTGGTGAGAAGTGTTAGGGCTCTTTGTATTCTAGTTTTCTTACTTGGTTTGGGGACACAGGGTAGGAAAAAGAGTACTTGCTCTTACTTGGTCCTTCTAGTTTAGGTTGATTTGTGAAGTAATTTTTACATATCCTACTAACTTGTTGAGACTGTCATGCATACAGTGTATTTTGATCAGTCATCCCTAACTCCTCGCAGATCCATCTTGACCTTCCTCCATCACTGAGAATATTAAGGACACCATCTGCATGTTGAGTGAGAGATTTCCCTTCTTTTTTCAAAGGTTGGAGTTCTGAAGGAGGCCCCCCTACACAGTGGGGGTTCCCTCCGGAACCCTGGTTTAGTTATAAACAACACCCAAACACCTGTTTTCACAGAGATATCCTTTATTAAGCAGGGATGAAAAGCTAAAATGGCTGCTTTCTGATTGAGGCAGAAAAAACCAGCAGGTGTCATTTTTTGTTTTTTTTTTTTTTTTTTAAGACTGTAGCCTTGACTGTCCCAGAACTCACTCTGTAGACCAGGCTGGCCTCAAACTCAGGCAGATCCACCTGCCTCTGCCTCCCAAGTGCTAGGATTAAAGGTGTGCACCACCAGCAGGTGTAATTTTAAGGGGAGAGCTGTGTTAAAATGGGCTAGGACGCAGTGGCATATTTTGATTGGGCATGTTAATTAAGTGAACCAAAAGGAGCTTTTGATTTCTGGACATCAATACTTTGATAGCTGGACCTTGGTAGTTAGCCTCAGGAGGAGGGTGTGGCCACAAAGGAACAGATTTTGGTGGCTAGCTTTGGGAATGTAATCTAACTGTTTCTAGCAAGGCAGAGGGGAGAAGGGCACGGCCTGCCAGAGCCATGTTTGCCAGGCTCAGGCCTGTTAGAACCCTTCAACTTCTATTTGTTCTCTCCCGTCTCACTTTCCAATCCTTCCCATGGGCACCAAGGTTCGGGACACCAGGAAGGGCTGTTTAGCACAAACCCAGTTTGTGATCTCATGTAGCGCCATCTGCCCCTCCCCCTTCCCACTTTCCCAGCCAAACCCAGGTTGGTGTGAAGGCCAGCATCCACGTCATTTTCCTGGTACAGCTCTTGGCAGACAGCTGAGCCTCCCTTACATGTGTCTTTATCACAGCCCAGGGCAGGCAGCTGCCGTCAGAGCCCACCTAGGAGCCTATCCTATTTGCACTAATTTCAGGGACTGCAACGCATTGTTTAGTCCCTCAGCCATTTGGGGTCATTCCTGTACTTGTGTGTGTGTGTCGTGTGAGTGAGCTCAGATGTGGAGGTCTAAGACAAACATTTCAGGTGGTTGGTTGCAGTTTTGTGTAGTGACGAAGAACTATAGCAAATAATCTCAGGCTAAAGATGCCATTGTGAACAACAAAAAATTGTCCACTCTTTCTCTCTCTCGAGACAGGGTTTCTCTGTGTAGTCCTGGCTGTCCTGGCTTTACTATGTATTCTGGGCTGGGGTTGGACTCATGAAGATCTTCCTGCCTCTGCCTTCCTGGGTGCTAGGATTACAGGTGTGCACCACTGCGCCAGCCCAGCTGTCCACTTTAAACAAAACAAAACAAAAACAAAAACAAAAAAACATATTCAAGCCCTTTGGCTGGTAGCTCAGCAGGTAAAGGTGGACACTGCTATAATTTTTTAATCCATAGGATCAACAAAGTCTATGCCATGGCATATGCCCTGACACACACAGTTACACTCTTTTTTTTTTTTTTTTTTTTAATGTGAAGCTTTGGCTTAGATCTTCTATGCAGCTCTGCCCGGCCTTAAACTCAGAGACTCCCCAGCCTCCCCGCCTTCTGAGTGCTGGGATTAAAGGCGCTGATTGAAGCAGCATCCTCATATCCGCTGCTGTTCCTGTTCTCAGCAGTCACGACGTGCTAGGAACTCAAATATCCACCATCAAAGAAAATGCGTTGTCAAACAAACTCTGGAGGGAAAAGCCCGTCTGTAATCTTAACACTTCCGGGAGTGTTTGAAGACAGCGTGGAGTTCAACTATATAGCCAAGGCTTTATTCCCCTCCCCCAACTCCCAAAGAAAATATAGTAATCCAACGGCATTAAATAGAAAGAGTAAAATAGAACATTAACATTAAAATAGAAATCCTCTCCAGTAAACCTTGAAGGCATTCTTTTCAGTGAAATGCACTGGTCACAAAAACAGGTGGTTTATGATTCTACTTAGATAAAAAGAGAAAGCAAGAGCATCGGGTCCCAGGGGCAGGAAGAAAGGAGGAATGGGGCCTTGTTGTTCAATGGGTCTGGTTTCGGCTTTTTTAAAAAATTCCAGGATTTGCTTTGCTGCTGGAGACTCCCTTACACCCGTTATCATTTAACCGCTGTTGGAGCAATCTTAGGATTTTGAGATGAAATGTTCGGAAGGCTTGTTGTATAGGAATGTAAACAGCACTCACGATGCTGCTTATTTTGTGTTTACAATTAAATGGTACATTTAGGTGGGTCTGGTAGATCCGAGCTTTGTAGGAAAACTGAGTGCCGTAGGAGGCCCTTGAGTAGGAGGCCGAGCAGAGAAACGTGGTGAGACTTTAAGTCAAGCATGGTGACGGGTGCCGGTAGATTTAAGCACACAGAAACTGAAAGGGGGAAATGGTGACTTTGAGGCCAATTTGGGCCAGTATGACTAAAACATATATATATATTTAAACAGGAAAACGAAGCTATAATGCCGGCATTTGGGAGCCTAGAGCAGGATTGCCACAAACTCAAGGCCACGAAACCCTCCCAAACAACAACGACTCAAGCCTCACACAACGTTCTCCAGGCTTGAGCTTGTTACTTTAACCAGGCCGGGCTGACTCCCAACGAAAACCAGGGAGGAGGCCCTGCGGCCAAGCCCCGGCAAGCCGGCGGGCGGGCGCACCAGCCTCCGCCCGCTGGGCCCGCGCTGCCCCACCCCCGCGCTGCCCCGCCCCCGCGCTGCCCCGCCCCCGCGCCGTGGGCCTGGGGCTCAGCGCCACCTCCCGCCCGAGCTCCCGCCCCGCTCCCGGCGCGGGGCCGCCCACCTCCGAGTTTCCGCCAATCGCCGCCCTGGTTCCGCCTCCAGCCCCCTGCTTTCCGGCATCCGGGCTCTCCCACACGGCTGCCCTGCAAGCATGGCGCTCCGCGGCGAGCGCGCGTCCGGCCCCGGCGCTGCCTTGCCTCGCGGGGCCTGCTCGCAGGTCACGGTGTCCAGGGAGCTGCTGGCGGCGGGGAACGGGGCCTCCGGAGGTGAGCGGACAGCGGCTGGGGTGGAGGGACCCGGTGCGTGGTGCCCGTTCCAGGCTGTGAGCTTCACAGTGGGAACCCCGGGTTCGGCCCGGCGAGTGGCACGCGCTAGTCCCCGCGCTCGCGAGGCAGAGGCAGGCGGATCTCCTGAGTTCGAGGCCAGTCTGCTCGACGTAGTTACAGGACAGCCGCAGGTGCAGTCTAGTGAGACCCCGTCTCGGAAATAAAGAGGAAACAGTGGGTTCTAATCCATACTCGGCGGTGCGGCGTTCTGAAAGTTTCTTTCTCCATGGCTCCGTTCTCACGTTGTGATGAGAGCAGGTGGGGCCACCGTAGAATTTTTGCGAATGGAACGCATAAAAGTTCTTCTGCGTGCGTTAAGTATCCATCGTTGGAGAACCAAGTGTGTCTGAGCATAGCACGGAATGCTAAAGCTTGTGTAGTGCGCATTGTCAGAACCTAACCAATTCAAGCCTCACCGCAGTGCCTGCAGAGGTGTCCCCGTGACCTCGTTTTACGGATGAAGAAATTGTCATAGTGGTGGTAACACAAATAATAACTCGGTGGACATTAGCAGGAAAGCAGCAGGGCTGCATGGAGAGGTCAGAACGTGGCTGATCTTCTGGAATAATGTGAGTCGCCGTGTGGGTGCTGGGAATCAAACCCTGATCCTCCGCAAGAGCGGCCAGTGCGTGAGATCCTGGGGCTCAGATCCACCTGCATGTCTTCTGAGTGTTGAAATACGGTGTGCTTCACCGTGCCCAGTTTTTTTTTTTTTTTTTAAATCCAGAAGATGGAATCCAGTGTACATTTATTACCGAGAAAAGAGATGAGTGAGATGGACTGAAGAGACGGGAGATCAGTGTACACAAAGACAGTGTAGCAGGAGTGTTGCCCCTTCTCCCTGGGTTTGCAATGGGCCTCTCCTCACTGTTGTACAGTGCAGAGGCTCATCCCCTCTCGTTTGAACTCACGGCTGTTTTATGCTGAAAATTGTGCTTTCAGGTATCTGGGACCAGTTGCTCATCACTTCTAAGCCTCATTCCAGAAAGACCCCCACGCTTCAAACAGTTCGGATGCAGAGGAGCCCTTGTAAGTATTCCTCTCCGCTGTAGAGGGCGCTCCATCAGGCTGGCTACCTAATCCATTGTTTGACGGATAGTCCCCGGGGCCATCAGTAACCAGTCAAGTACAGCAGGCCTCATGCTGTGTGAGCCATCATCTAAGGAATAGAATTCCTCATGTTAACCCTCTGCTTGCAGTTTTCTCAGGGTTTTTTTTCTTTTTCCTTTTTTTATGACATGGTTTCTCTTTGTAGCCCTGGTTGTCCTGTAACCAGCTGTGTACACTGGGCTGTTCTTGAACTCACAGAGATCCGTCTGCCTCTGCCTCCCAATGCTGTGATTAAAGGTGTATGCCACCAACTTTTTTTTTTTTTTAACATGTTAGAGCTCAACTTGGGCAGTTACCAAGACTTCACTTTGCATTGGGATATTAATTATGGTTATGGAAAATACTGCATAGCCCAAGTCTTGTATAGAAGTGTTCTGGAACACTTCTATACAATGGAATGGAAACATTTTCCTAGGAGGCGCTCAAGATATATAGATAGTATACAAATGTCTAAAATAAATTTGCAGGGTTTCCAAGACCCCTTCCTTAAGGATTAAACCTGAGGTGGTAGTTGAGTGTAGACGAGAGGCTGCCTGTAGCTCCCGCAGAGAGTGCAGGAGGGCAGCTTTTGAGAGCTACCACTCTGGTTCCTCTGAACACAAAAACCTCACTGGCTCTCCAGATAGCTCTCTGGAAGCTCGGCTTTTATTGGAGCCCTCCTAGGGTGAATGCATGTTCTGGTCTCCTAAAGGCTCCACATCACCCACTGGGCTACACTGGGACTCACGCAGTGGCTTAGGCTGGCCTGGTAAACAGTCCTAAGAGGGCTGGCTCTCTTCATCAGTCACATGTAACATTGCTGATTGTGCACTCATTGGTGTGCTCCTCATTGAGACTCTTAGGAATAGCTTTTATAAAATCATCAATATCTGTACAACGTTTGAGACCCCCCCTAACCTCAGCCTCTCAGTGTTCACCTGCAGTATTGTCCCTTCATTTTGATGGTATTGCTGGAACTTAGGACCTGCTGCTGGCTGTGCAGTCTATATTTTTGATGCAGAGATGCCGATGCAAAGGTCATGGAGGAGTGCTCCTTACTCCTTGCTTGCTCCCCCAGGGGTTCAGCCTGCTTTCTTACAGAACCCAGGATCACCAGCCCAGTGTTGGCACTGCCCACATGACCCCTCCTCCCCCCATCAATCACTAACTAAGAAAATGCCCTACAGTGGGATCTTGAAGAGGCATTTTATAAGTTGAGGTTCCCTCCTTTCTGATGACTCAAGCTGTTGTCAAGTTGACAGAACTGGCCATCCCTGTGGTGAGATTGAATGCATGAATTAGAACTGAATTGCAAAAGAAAGCTCAGATTGCCTTAGGAGAAGCCCAGGAAAACTTGACTGAGTTTCTTGGGGTGAATGAACCAGGGTTAGAAACCGCTGCAGGTTTATCTGAATCCAGATGCCCCTTGTAGTCATCTGCTGCCATCTCTCAGCTCCACTTTTTTGGTGGCGGACTAATCAAAAGGTGGCTATTCCATTGCTGTGGCGGGTTGGCTGCTTTATGAGAAGTTTCAGGTGAATGTTCATCCACTTTTTTTTCTCTCTCTCTTCAGACCCCAAGTTGACCACTTAATTGGCTTGGCTGGAACACCCTGTCAGTTTATGCCACAGGGCAGATTCTGGTGGGCAAGACTGTAGATAACATAGGCCTGTTGAGGACGAGGAACAGTAGTGACTAAGCTTAAAAGGAAAGGTGAGCGTTTGTGCAGGAGCATGGAAAGTTGGAAGCCAGTCCAACTTACAAACAGTGAATTCTGGCCTGGGTCACATAGCAAGTCTTTTTTTTGTCTTGTCTTGTTTATTTTTGTGGATGAGTGCTCTATCTGCATGTACACCTGCACGCCAGAAGAGGGAGCCACCATGTGGTTGCTGGGAATTGAACTCGGGACCTCTGGAAGAGCAGCCAGTGCTTTAACCTCTGAGCCATGTCTCCAGCCTTCTCCTCCTTCCCTCTTTTCTTCCTTCCCCCTTCCCTCCTTTCTCCTTTCCCTCTTTCCCTCCTTCCCTTCTTCCTTCCTTCTTTCCCTTCTTCCTTCTTTCCCTCCTTCCCTCCTTCTCTCTCTTCCTTCCCTTCCCTTTTCCCTTATCTTCCCTTTTCCCTCCCTCCCTCCCTCCCTCCCTCCCTTCCTTCCTTCCTTCCTTCTTTCCTTCTTTCCTTCTGCTGGTGTTAACATTTTGAGATGAGCGTTGGGCAGGTGATACGTGTTCCCCGTAGCTGAACTAGTAAGAGTGGAAATGGTGTCCCATTAATAACCTTGACAGCCTCATTGTAAAGACCAGGTGCACTTAACCATTAGCTCATTCTGCCTTTTTCTCTTTTTTTTTTTTTCCGCACTTGTCTTGTTGAATGCCAGCCTTCTAGAATTTTATAGTATGAGAATGGAAGACAAACACAGTATTTGCATAATAGTTGTTGAATTGTGGTCTTTTTGTTCTGGGAGGGCAAAAGAGGGTCTGGGACTGGTAGGCTCTTGTCCTAGCACAAGCAAGGCCCTGGGTAAATAAGCCCCAGCCTTTCCCCTGACACCAACCACCCTCCAATCAAGGCGGCTCAGATGTGGATGGACAACTGCTTTAGTGGGAATTCTGCAGTCTGGAATTTACTAACATGCTGTGTTTGCCCTCCACAGTGTTAGACCAAGTTCAGGCCTTTCTCCCACAAATGGCCCAGGCAAATGAAAAGCTACGAAAGGAAATGGCGGTTGCTCCAGCTGGTCATTTCAATATTGAAAATATTGATGAGACATCCGGAAACATCATACAGATGGTAACTATATTCTTACAGTTTCTGTTTCGTACAGCAGAATTAGTGCACTTCTCAGAAAGGGGAAAAAAATATTGTAAAATCTTGTTCTAAAACAAAATGTTGTTTTAAAATTAGCAAATGTTTTCACACAGGCAAGATGGTAGAACATACTTGGAGTTTCACAGGCTGTGCTGTATCTGTTGCCCTGTTTCACTTGCTGTTCAGTGCTGAACACAGTTATTGGCATTAACAAAGCAGCAGGGCTTTGTACAGTTACAGCTGTGAAAGCTTGAGTTACATACAATTTCATATGTATGTGCTTTTTTAAGGGAAGGTGTCTTTTGTCTCAGTGCCAGGGGAACATTTTTTTCACGGTGGGAAGTTGTGCCTAGGGCTCCATCTGTGGTGGTAGAAGTTTGTGGCCTGCTACTTGAGCCACTTTCTGAGAGTGTAGAGCCCACCCTCAGTTAAAGAGCTGAACAAAATCAAGTGGCAGGCGGAATTTTTCCTGTGTGTTTTAGTCTGCTGCTGGTTTCATTAAGGTAAGAGTTGATGGGGGGGGGTGTTGGAGGGTAGGACTTACATGTGGCCCAGGTTCTTAGGTTGTCAGTCCTGCCTGTCTCCGCTGCTGGGATTACAGCTTGGGGTTGTCAATGTGTCTCTATGGCCAGATGTTTGCATTTCTTGTCAAGTCTGAAGTGTCCAGTGTGGTGCCTGACTCCAGTCCAATGGTTCTCAACCTGTGGGTTGCAACTCACTGAAGATCACCAGAAAACACATTTACATAGCGATTCACAGCAGTAGAAAAATTATAGTCATGAAGTAGCAACAAAAATAATCTTATGGCTGGGGTCGCCACAACCTGAGGAACTATATTAAAGGGTCACAGTGTTAGGAGGGTTGAGAACCACTGGTTTAGTCCATTTTATTGAGTGAATGCTGTTGGATGCATACTAGGCAAGAAGAGCCTTTTTAAAGACCTAAGTGAAAGAAACCTTTGAACACTCACTGACTTTGTTTTTACAGTGGATTCTGGCACCTAAAACCATGAAAGTGCTATTTGTAATAAGCACACAGTCTAACCTGTGCTTCAGAATTTATAGTCAGCGTGGGTAGCTCCCTCTGTTGCTTTTTTTAAAGAATTGGTGTGTGTGTTTGTATGTATACACGTTCGTGTCTGCCACCTGTGTGGGTACCCATGGGGACCAGAAGAACCAGAAGAGCTTGCTAGATTTCCTGGGGCTGAGGTGTTGTGAGCCATTTGATAATGGATGCTGGGAACTGAACTCTGGAGTGCTCTGGAAGAGCAGTAAGCACCAGTACCTGCTTGATGAGCCATCTCTGTAAGAAGCCATGTTGCTTTATTAGAACATGTCACAGAACTGCCCTGAATAGATTCCTCAAACTGACACTTTTTACAGGATGTGGCCCTGTTTGAGATGAATCGGTCAGATTCACAAGAGGAGGATAGTCCAGAGGAGAGCTCCCAGGACAGTTCTGGAGACAGCACAGAGTCCGAAGAGGAAGACTGCGTCCACTCTGAAGTCACCATGGAGAACATTAAGCTTCCAAATGCAGAAGGTGGCAGAGGCAAGATTGAAGTCTTGGGCAGTCCAGCAAGTAAAAAAAAGAAGCAGTGAAGGAAAGCATCTGAAAAGAATCAGGCGCTGTTCTCTGCCTGCGAGTTGTCGGGGAAGGTACTTTCCCAGGTGGATTGGCTTCAAGGTGTCTGTGGTCCTCTTTTAAGTGTCAAAAAGAAAAATTAATGAGTTGGGTGTATTCTCAAGTGTTCAGAGCTCGACTGCAGAGCGGGTCGTTCCATGGATACAGAGAAGAGACATCATCTGAACAGTGTGGCCTGTGACTCAGGGAAGCTCCTGTATTCTAAATGACACTACTGGAATTCTCACTTCCAAATTTGGGGTTTGGTCTTGATTTGTTTCTGTATCATGGCATGGCAGGTTACAATTGTATAGGAACTGGGTACTGGAAACAAGCCCAGAGTAACCGCCCCCTGCCTTTGAAAAGGTGTGATGGTGGCTATATTTAATTCAAGAAAAACCAAAGCTGCCTTTTAAATATTTGTAATGGTAAGTGACACCCTGTAAGAGCAGACTGAGCTCTGCTCTCACTATAAAGAGATTTAAGTGTTCACATACCACTGTGTGCTATATCACTGTGTTGCTGTGTGAATTTGAATTCATGTAAAAATGGCCTTGCTGCAAATTGCAATGGTACTCATAGCCTGTCTCCAGTTGGTAAACTTAGAGAGTGATGGATGACTTAGGTAGCTGTTTTACTGACTCACCAGTCTTGATTATGTTTTATGAGGACTAGCAAGTGACCGGTGGGAGGTTGAGCCATCCGTCAAGGGGCTGCTTTGTGAACAGGAACCATGCCCCTGTTTCCTGGAGGAAATGGTAACAGCTCTGTTACTTATCTTGGTGGTTGGACATACTTTGTGTTAGTGTTGATGCTCTGGGCCAGGTTCGGTCCTTCTGGCAGCTCAGGCCTGGACCACCACTTTTCCTACCGTCTAGCTCTTACCACCTTTCCGCATGTTTTCCCTCCATAGTCCTGAGTGTTAGAGGTATTTTGTTGTTTCTCCTCTGAGAACTGAGCCACTGAGCTGCTATGTCAAAACAGGAGAGACTGCAGCCACGGATGCTTACTCATAAAGTGGCAGGCTGATGAGAAGAGCATACCTCCATAGTGGTGACCGGAGCCTGTGGCCGGAAGCATCCTGCACTCTGTGAAGAACACCAGCTACATTACCTTTTCTGGTATGCAGTGACTGCGCACAGATCATGAGTACAGCTGTTCGTATACCCAGAGCCCGCCTACAGCCTGTTTTCCTGGTTACCAGGTCTTTTGGCTTAGGAAGCGTGTGTGTAGGTGTGGTTCAGAACTTTGACAGTAAACATAGCCAAGCCTTTGCTTATACTGCCTATCTAGGGCCTTGTGTAGGGACTAAATACAGTAACTGGCAATTTCTGTGACAAAGGACAATGACTTCGTGTCTTGTTAAAGAATCAAGGACTTTTGTTACTGTGGGCAGGACAGAGGCTGTATATAGTTCTCAAACTGGACATGCTCCCCAACAGTGAAACGGTGGGCACTTTGTTTGAGAAGCCTGTGACAATCATGTAGGGAGGCAGGTTGGAGGCTGATACGCTCCCTCCTAAGTGTGCTCAGTTATAGTGGTAGCTCGAAAGGGAAAGGTGGCAGATAGGAACACGCTTGAGAGCCAGCCTACATTGTAAAGACAAACATGGAAGGCTTTCTGGGTGCTATACGGCCTGTGTCACAAACACTTGGTGGGTGGTTAGTGGCTGCTTTGGGGTAATACCTAGGTTACAGGAGCTGGCTGACAGCTCAGAGAGGGACTTGGAGAAATGGCTGTGTATGTGTCCCCTGTATATTTCCTTTTATGGGAACAGAAAGCCCGTAAGTGGCTTGCTGTTTTGTTTATTGTACCTGTGGGACTCGTTGTAGCTTTCTGGGCACAGTGGGTTATAATCATATAAATGCCCATTTTGGGGTTTGGTCCAAGTTAATCCATGTCCAGAAGGTTTAGACCAGGTTTGGAGTTCCTGTTTTGTTACTGGAAGCTCATGTAGAGACAGGATTGTCATGTTCTGGTTTTATAATGTGGGAATGCCTCTGTTGACTGGGGGATCATGTGAAATATCTCAAGTCTGGCTGATGGAGAGGAGCAGATTTTTCCAGGGTATACCTACCTGCCTGGAGAGCGAGTCTGCCATGTGTAAAGATCATCATGGGATACAGTGGTTACCCAATGTAAGAAGAGGGTCCCCTCAGTTACAGTTGGCAGCCATAGCATGACTCCTACACTCTTTTGGAGGATAATTGTGTAGTTTACTGTTCTGTTTCCGTGAAGAGACATCATTACCAAGGCAAGTTGTAAAAGAAGTGTTGAGTTGGGGTCTTCCTTTCACTTTCAGAGGGTGAGTCCATTACCTTCTTGGCAGGGACAGGAAGGCAGGCAGAGCTCTGTTGCCGTAGCTTACATCTCTACAAGCAGGAGGCAGAGCTTTGAAACCTTAAAGCCCATCCCAGTGACAGACATAGCTTTTCCAATAAGGTCCTACCTCCTAATTCTTCCCAAACAGTCCACCAACTAGGAACCAAACATTCAAATACATAAGGGCTGTTCTCATTCAAACCATCACAAGAATTGACTGGATGCTCACGTGTTAAGCAGGGCTGTTAGTCTCCCCATCTGGACATGGGATTCTTTTCAGCCCCAGGTGTCTGACTTAACTTACAGTTCTGACATGGCGGGGGCTGGACATAGTCGCAAGGACATTGGCTACCTGTGCTGACTGAACTACCACGGAACCTGCTATTCTGTGAAACATGCAGGTAGTGGGGTACTTGGGGTCTGCATGCAGGTGAAGGAATTGGCTCTCCCTTGAGGCCTGAATAGCACCCCCTGACACTGAGCGCCAACTGCTGGGGATGGGCAGTGTTTCCTGGTTTAAGCCAGGCGCTCCAGTCTCCTGAAGTCAGCATGTGGTGTCTCCAGCAATACGGATGGCCATTAGCTCTGGTTCACACCCACATATAGTAACGAAGGTTGATATAGTGGGTGAAGCTCAGGGATCCAGCTCCCTGGTCACCAACACTCAGGAAGGCGTACCACCCCTGGCATCAGTTTGTTTATTTTTGTTTTTTCCAGACAGGGTTTCTCTGTGTAGCCTTGGATGTCCTGGACTCACTTGTAGACCAGGCTGGCCTTGAACTCAAAGAGATCCACCTGTCTGCCTCCCAGAGTGCTGGGATTACAGGTGTGCATCACCATGCCTAGCAACACATTTCTTTTGTTTTTGTTTTTGTTTTTGTTTTTTTGTTTTCCTTCAAAATTTTATTTTATGTATATTGGTGTCACGGTGTTAGATCCTCTGGAACTGGAGTTACAGTTGTGAGCTGCCATGTGGGTCCTGGGAATAGAACCCAGGTTCCCTGGAAGAACAGCCAGTTAACTACAGAGCCCTCTTTCTAGCCCCCAGATTTGTTTTTTGTTTTTTTTTTTTTTTAAGAGTTTTTTGTTTTGTGTGTGTTTTTCCCCCCGGAGTTGCTAGAAACACTCTTAACTCACATGTGTCTTTATTTAAACTTGAGATACCATTTCTGGAGTGTAATGTTCTTGACAAAGCTGCTCTTTTTTTGGATACGCTGGTTTAACTGACAGCAGATCCTTCTGGAGTCCACCTTTTCCTCTTCGTGCAACAGTTGCTTCAGTGTTGTGTGTATTGGGCTAACCTCTTCCTGACAGCCATAGGAAACCCATTAAAACCTTCTGTTCAGGAAGGTGGCTTATGTCTTCATAAGGCTTATTGCCTTCAGCTATAGCCTTCGGACCAGGTACCTCTAAGGTAAACATTGGGACACTGGGCATACAGTTGCTTAAGCTGCTTCACAAAAATCTAAGTTTGTTCAAAATCCTTTTGAGGGGAAGAACTTACGTTGTGGGGAGTTGAAGGGGGGGTTGGGGTGCAGATGATCAGGATGGATTGTGTTTACATGTATGACATTGTCAACAATGAATAAATTCTACTGGTTAAAGTGTTTAAAGCATTCGGTGCCATATCTTCGTCCTCAGCACTCAGGAGGGTGAGGCAGGATTGAGAATTTGAGGCCAGCCTGGGTTGCACAGCAAGACCTTGTCTCAAAGCAGAAAAAGCCTCCTGAGCCCTCTGTGGCCTAGACTCTGGCCTTCCCATCGGTTATACAGATGGGCAACTGGACCAGGCTGAGGTGTGGAGTTGCGCCTTTACCCCAGAACTCCATTGCTACAAGGCTGCTGCAAGATTTTCTTAGTGACCTTATCAGTTACTATGTCCACAGAAGCACAGGCCGTTCTTTCACTTTTTGTAAAGGTTAGCACCATTATGCCGTGTTTGAATAAGCATGTCCTCTTCCATCTCCTTTATTCTACTACCTTTACCTCATGTAGCCTCAGACTCCTTTCCTCCATATCCTGTGTGTGTCCCCCCCCCCCCCCCCCCATATACTCATCTTACTCTGTCTTGATCTTCCTGGATTTTAAGGCTTTACACTGTTTGCATATACGTTACACATTGTAGGTGAGGATCTCTACATAAGAATGTATATTTTTTGTCAGAAGTATCTGAGTTAGAGTCAACATAATATACTTTCTAGATCTGCCTTTTTCTCCCTGCAGATTTCATTTTCTTCACAATTAAATGATATTCTATTGTGTGTATATATGTGTGTATGTATATACCTACATATTTGTTATCTAGTCTGGCTACATGTCTTTGCTACTGTGAACAGTGTAGTGATAAACAAGGATCTGCAGAAGGCTGAGAGCATGTGGAGCCCTTTGGGTATAGGCCCAGCTGTGTTATTGTTGGGTCATATGGTAGAAGTATTTTTAATTTTTTGAAGCACTTCCATGGTGATTTCATGATGGCTAAACTCACTCGCACTGGTGAAAAGGATTTCTCCTGACCAGCACATTTCTTCATAGCCATTTTGATGGTGGTGAGGTATTATCTTAAAAGTAGTTTGAGTTTACACTTTAGTGATGGCTAAAGATACTGAACGTTTTCTAATACTTGCTGGCCATTTGTGTTTCTGCTTTAGAGAACTATGTACATTTCATGACCTTGTTTGTTTGTTGATTTTCAGGTTTGCCTTTTTTGGTATTTATTTTCAGTTCTTTGTAAATTCTAGAGTTTAGCCTCCAGTAAAGTTGGTAAAGGTTTTCTCCTATTCTGTTGGCTCTTGATGTCTGCTGTAAAAGCTTTAATTTCGTGTAGTCCCAGCTGTGTCCTCAAAGAGCATTCCTTCCCTTGTCCTGTAGCAGGTGCAGGTGGGTTTTTTATTTATTTTGTTTCTCTGTGTAGCCTTGGCTGTCCTGGACTCACTTTGTAGACTAGGCTGGCCTTGAACTCGGAGATCTACCTGCCTCTGCCTCCTAGAGTGCTGGGATTACAGGCATGTGCCACCACACCCAGCTTCAGGTGCAGGTTTTAAATTAAAGTCTTTGATTTACTTTGAGTTGATTTCTAAAAGTTATTTGTTGGAGGCAGGATCTTTCCCTATGTATCTGAATGAATCTGAATGAAGTTGGTGCAGAATTCACTGTAGACTGGGCTGGCTTTGATC